TGTTGACGCATGTTTATAAACACAAAGTGTTGACGCATGTTTATAAACACAAAATGTTGACGCATGTTTATAAACACAAAGTGTTGACGCATGTTTATAAACATAAAAACAGAACTGCGGTGTCACAGCAGGGACATTGATTAGAGCACTGTGACGAATGTGTCTATCCTCATGTCATACATCCCTACTCTGTGACTACCATGATGGCTCAGAGCCGTATCGCAGTGGATGAATTCAACCCTCCTTTCCATCTCCGCACCGACTTGAAAGGTAATATATGAAAGGGGTAACAGAGTGAGAGTGATTGTTTCAACACTAGGGTCCTTACAAGATTTTCTGTCACATAATCTGAAGAGACTCGTGAGAAGTCAGACGGGAGAGATGCGTCAGCCGAGGTTGGGGCAAAACATTTTCCCTTAACACAAACTGTTAGATCTCATCTCATCCTCGTGAACTCATCATCTTGTCTCATCCCATCTTGTGGGATAAGTGTCTTGTTACACCCCTATTCATCCCATCAATAACTCCAAACACATAATATGTTGGTGTTGAATGCAGAGAAAGCAGGTTGGTCATTAAAAAGTGATAATAGATGTGGTACTGTAAAAGCATTTGAGTGCAGCGACTGATGTTGTCAAACTTCATTCTTTTTTTCATTACACAGTTTATGTTGCCAATCATGCAAACGCTTGTCCAAACATAATATTAGAATAGCAGATGAAACTAAGACGAAACAGGTTGAAGAAGCATACAGTCAGTAGTAAAGCTTCAAATGTTATCTTTCTGTAATTCAACAGGTTTATTCTACCAGTTTAGTTCAACAGATCTAATAAGAACTTTTAAGCTCAAAATAAAGAGCTTCAAAGCTGCTTAAAGGAGAATATATTGTCCACAAAGACCATATAGCATTATTTTGATATTGCTGTAGGTCTATAAAGCTGGTCTTTCCTCGTGTTACTTTGAATTGTCCTATATAACAAGATCAAAGGTCTCTTACAGTTACTCAAATCTTTTTTAGAAAATGTCACAGCAGTGTTTAGCTGACTGCATTTAATTTAAATTAAACCCCTAGTCTTTAGCACTCATGCTGCATCAGAAGACAGCAAAATCATCCATCCTAAAAACTCTCCGATACATGTGTTTTGGTTTTCAGATAAAGAGAGAGCACAAAGACAGTGAAAGTAAATCACGTTAACGAGCTGTCAGAATGGTAGTTTGAGAAAAAACAAACTAAACTTTGAAAAGAATCTGCACTGAATTAATCATCTGACACTGGCTTGGAGTTTAAGAGAAAGGCATTGAACAAATCTGCAAATCGTGTATTAAAAGCTGTGGCCCAAAAAACATAGTATCTCGACATTTATTACACATTGTAAAAGGTCATCCGATGCTGAATGACAAATGTTTAAAGCTCAACGTCTCCACGCACAAACGTTAAAATGTGAACTGAACCTGCAGCAAAGCAAAGGAGTGCCTTATGCGTTGTCCAAACCTACATAAAACAATTAGAAAGTGACTACATCACTAAAAATGGGCCCTAAACTTTAAAATCTCATGTTTGACGAGCCTGGTTGCAGTGAGCGTTTTGTAAAAGTTTCACACTTTTTTCGTTATTGCTTTCATTATTATCATTTTATTATATCATTGTTTATTTCAATAAGAGGGCCATTTAACTCAACATACAAATAAAACAAACCACCACACTGGTGCATTTTATTCGGTCGATACATTACATGCAATATTTCTAAATATAGCACTGTTTTTATGCACTATATAGTTTATTTGTCCTGGATGTTCCTTGTAAAGAGGATAGATAGCGAGATCTATTTATCTGTGCAGCTTATTGGACCAGCAGCTGGTGAGAAAAAGTCAGCAGCTCACCTTCCACAGAAGTTCACACTCTCTCTCCTCCAGTGCTTTCTTGTGCCTCAGAACAAGCGCCTTCACTTCAGTCTGCACCACCTTTGCCTTGATCTCCACCTGCTCCGCCATGGCCTGGACCTTCTCCATGCTTAACTGAAAACACAAAGAAATGATGCAATCATACATTAAAACCTCCACAAGTTGGGAACAAGCAAACGTTGAAATACATGATGCATAAAAAAACCAAAACATTCTTGTTTCACATGCCACCGGTCATTTTTATTTATTAAAGTACATTTTGCAGCCAAGACATTGTTTATAGTTGTAAGAATATAGAAAAACAGTATAAGGAAAAGAGTCCAACTATTAAAGTACCGAGAACGTATGAAATTGCTGTGCTACCAATTCAACTTTTTATGGCATTCAATTCTTGATAATAGGACTATTTTAACACATTTTCAACACACTACCATAGTTAAAATTTAAAATCATATTTGTGGTAAATTTTTTTCACGACAGTCGTGATATAAAAAAATGAATCAGGAACTATTGGAAAAGATACATTTCCCTGGCTAGTACACACAACGAGCTGCAGGTTTTTTGGGGGCTTTTCCTTCGTAACCTTTGGTGTCTAATGTTCTGAGGGAAAAGGAGACGGAGATCAGGAATGGGAAGTAACCTCACTGCGCGAGAAAATCATTAACTTTGTGCTGAATTTTAAAACTTCTGCTAGTCAGAGAAGGCACTGTAGCATTTATAAACATTAGAGAACACTATTTAAAGCAATTATTCAAATTACAGTAGACTGAGTATTAAATAAGAGTGCGTACAGAAATAAATCACAAAAATGTCTCAAAACTATTTGTTGCATAGTTTGAATATTCCAGCTTAGTAAGCTAAATCGTCAATAACAAATAAAAATTGTATAAACTTTTGTAAAGTTTTGACAGCCTAAACTCAACATTATATAAACTATGAAGTCATAGTTCCACTTCTAATCTAAAGTACAATAATAAGCTTGACAGATTTAATGGAGTCGATAAGATACATTTTATTGTTCCCGCAGGTGCTTATGTTTGCGTCAAAATTACACTTGGCTGTCAGTCCACACAACAAAACAAAAAGAGAAATGTTGTTTTGCTTTTGTATTTGCTATACTTGTTTTTTTTCCTTCTTCTAGTGTTTACATTCTGGAGTGTCTGCTCCACATCTGTTTTCCAGTTTTTGGTGCATCATCATGGTAGCACTACAGCACAACACGCAGGCCTGGAATAGTCACTGCAGCAATTTGTGTGATTATCATAATCTTGTTATTTTTTTTTGAGTGGATGAGAACAGTGCCATGTACACATTTTCAGAAACAACCATTTTTACTACATCGTTTTGTGTAATGAATGGTTATGTACCATAGAGTTTCAAGGTTGCTGTAATTAAACCCTTACCTGATCTTGGCTCAGGAATCCTAGCCAATTATAGACCTATATCTAATCTAACTTTCATCTAAAAAATTCTAGAGGAAATGGTTGCTGGTCCGTTACATTATCGTCTTCAAAGAAATAATCAGTTTGAAGAGTTTCAGTCAGGTTTTAGAGCTCACCACAGCACTCAATCTGCACTGATGAAAGTTACTAATGATATTCTCATGGCCTCCGACAATGGACTTGTGTCTATACTGGTCCTGTTAGACCTCAGTGCTGCATTTGATACAGTTGATCACAATATTCTATTAGAGACTTGAATATTATATTAGGATTACAGGAACTGCTCTAAAATGGTTTAAATCATATTTATTTGATAGATTACAGTTTGTAAATGTAAATGATTCTTCATCATACACCAAAGTTAGTCATGGTCATAGAGTTCCTCAAGGTTCAGTGCTTGGACCAATACTCTTTACCTTATATATGCTTCCATTAGGTAAAGTTATAAAACAGCATGGAATAAATTTTCATTGTTATGCTGATGATACACAATTATATTTGTCCATGAAACCCAATGAATCCTATCAGTTACTTAGACTACAAGCATGTCTTAAAGACATAACCTGGATGACCCTTAATTTTCTGCTTCTGAATACAGACAAGACTGAGGTTTTAATTTTTACACCCGAGCATGTGTTAAACATAACGAAAGGCTGATTTGCTCTTTAAAAAGGCTGATTTTAATGAAGTATATTCATTCAGACTTTAATAACCTTTATTAACAAAGCGGTTAGAAAGCTCACATTGTTGTGCAGTTGGCTTTTTTACTGAGCTTGGTTCTGTTTGGTTACGGCTTCTTGTTTCTTTCTGAATTTCATGATTCCTATGCTCTTGAATGCACCGTGGCTGTTCCGACAATACTGAAGGCACCGCTCTGTGTAAAGTGCCGTGCTGCATGCTGTGCGTTGGGAGATTTTTCTCTCCCGACACCGACGTAGCCTTGCTGTTTGAGCTTTTGTTTGCTCTTTACTGGATACTGCTGTGTGTAAATACCAGAAGAAACACAGCAAATAAATCACCCTAAAGCCCAATTTGCACGGGGTTAGTTTTACCTAGGGATCACATGATATTTGTAATAATTACAGAGATTGTGTTGTTAATCCCATGCGAATCGGCCATGTCAGTAATTTATTTGTAAAGTAAAAATTCACCCGCAAATTACCTACTATATTTCTCTGAACTCCGAGGTCCTGTGATAATACTAATCCAATGCGAACGGGCATTTCTTTGATTTGGACAGAAATGGACGGGATCCGACATGTAATGAGGCATTTTTTGTTTTTGTTTAAGCAAATTGGGAAAAACCTAGAACAAGGCTATTTTAAATGAACGTGCTGCTCGCTTCGATGACAGCAGATGTGGAGACGTGCACGTGATCAACTGACCCATCCATCCATTATATTTAACCACTTCTTCCTTTTTGGGCAGCGGGAGTCGCTGGTGCCCATGTCCAGCCATCATTGTGCAAGAGGCGGGGGACACCCTGGACAGGTCACAAGCCCATTTCAACTGGCGGGTCAGCGGATGTGCGGCCGCTGGCGCACGGCCTGTGACAGCTGTACATGAGCTTAAAGTGGCTTTTTTTTTTTTTTACCTCAAACCGGCCGGTTGGACCTGCCTCCTCATCAACAAGTAGATTAAAGAATGCACAATATAAAATTGTGTTAATTTTCTTTAGTGCTGATTCGTAAAACCACATCAAAGTCTGAGACTGGCCCGGCCCGCACATTATTCTGGACTGGCCCAGTTGTGACAACGCAGCGCGGTAACATCATAACCGGAAGATGTCCATAAATTTCAGCTAAATCTCAGGCTAAATATCCCGTGCGAATGTGCCACATAAAAAGCAGACCGTGGGGAGTAATTTATTTATTACACGTGGTCCTTAGGTAAAACTAATCCCGTGCGAATAAGGCTTAAGCTGGATATCTGTCTCCGTGTTTTTTAATGAGAAGGCAACTTCATACCTTGCCAGTATAAACCAGTTAATTTCCTGAAGCATTTGTAGCAGCTACCCAGTCATTTTCACACCCATCAGGAATTTACATCCATGTCACCAGTGTCTCCACTGTGAGTCAACAACTATTGTGATGACTGATATCTGCATATGCATCTAGTCTGTTCACAGTAGGAGCTGCAGCAGCAGGCAGTTTTACACAGCAGGAGGTGGAGGGAGCGGGTGAGGGGCTTGATTTGTATTCAGTGGGGGGGGGGGGGATGCGTGAAGGTGCAGACGGAGAAAAACTGGCAGATTTTCAAGTACAACTTTACATAAAAGAGTATGAGGTTATATCGTTTTATATTGATATAGTCTCATTTTATACACATATGAAATTATCTCTATTTTAAAAAGAGATCGTCCAGCCCTAGTTCCAATGTAAAAAAAACTAGGTGGTGTTTTTGATAAGGACATGACTTTTTAGGACTGCAGGACTGCATTACTCTACCTGTGTAATATCACTAAAATTCATTCAACCTTTATTTATACAGGTTAGTCTCATTGAGCCTCAGGCACTCATTTACAAGAGAGACCTGTAAATTTGGAAACATCTTGTCCAAAAATTATTCAGAAAAAACTGGTTCATGTATTTGTCACATCTAGACGGGACTATTGCTATGGTTTATTACCTGGGTGTCCAAAAACTTTTAAAAAGTTTTCATTTAATCCAAAATGCTGCTGCCAGGCTGACACATTGTCCACTTTGAAGACTGGCTTAAAACTTTTATTTTTGATGAATCCTATAGTTAGGGTTGGCTTGGGTTTCCTGAGCTATCCCTTAGTTATGCTGCTATAGTCTTAGACTGCTGGAGGACAAACTGACCACATTTCCTCTCTCTGCTGCGGTTTTTACTTGCTCTACTCAACCTGTTAGCATTTATAATTATTTCTATCTTAACATTTTTTTTAATCTTTCCACCTATAGAAAGTACATCTTGACCTGTCATACAGTGTTTGTTTGTTCCTCCTTCCTGTCCTCTCAAACCCAGCCAATTGAAGCAGATGGCTGCTTGTCCTAAGTCTGGTTCTGCTGTAGGTTTCTTCCTGTTAAAGGGAGTTTTTTCTTTCCACTGTCTCCTTTGTGCTTGCTCAGGACGAGAGACTGTGATGAAGTAAAGATTCAACACGTCTGCTGCTTCCTTAGAGAACTTTACTAATTGTTTTTTAATCTACGTGAATGTTTTTGTACAGTGCCTTGACAACTTCTGTTGCGACTTGGTGCTATATAAATAAATTGAATTGAACTGTAAGACCAGTGTGTACAGGGTCTTGACGACATGGTCAGCAGTTTGGATCTCAGCTCAGTTTGTACAAAGGTTCCATGCTGCAGAACTGAAGAGTTAAATGTAAGAGATTTGAAACTGATTAATGCATCGTTTTTTGTCTATATTCTGATTGACCTCATTTTGTATTTTGCTTTGTGTGCTACCTGTTGTTTTGTCTGTACAGCACTTTGGTTGGCCTTGTTGCTGTTTTAAGTGCTTTATAAATAAAGTGGTATGGTATGATATTAAAGAATAATATAGTTTTTTATTCAACATCACAACACAATTGTCATAAAAGCCAGAGGAAGTTAAATAAAGAATATTTTTTCTCTAATCATTGTGTCCATAGAGTGATTAGAAGTTCATTTTATTATGATGCAATGTGCAACAACCTGCAGCGCTTCAGTACAATGTTTGTTTGATGACAGTAATTTTACTTTATTAGTTGAATTTTAGAATTTTATTCATCCCAGTACAAAACTGCACAGTTTATTACAACATAACAAAATTATTTTAATAGTTAGAACATTTCATTAGAAGATAATCATTTTACAGTATCCATTTTAATTTTACAGGACTGTAATAAATAACACTTCTTGACGGAGCACAAACAATGACAAGAGGAGACCGGTTTTATTACTACCTAAAGCAATAAAACTCCGGTGTAAAATAAAAGGTCTTAGCATTTACGACGCACAATTTGGGCTAAATGAGTATTTCTCAAGAGTTTCATCAGGCTTTTCTTCTGGCGTTTTCTGGGAGGTCACAGAGCGAACTGGACCTCACAGGCACGAAGGGGAGGAGGGATAAGGCTTCCTTTGTCATATATGCCACAAAGATCAAAGGTCACCTAAACCTCTACAGGTCCTGAGCCACTATCCTGGTCTTAAGACACATACGGCCCACCCCCCCATAGCACCCCAACACGAACAAAGCCTGGCAGCATGGTCTCTTTTCTTCTTGGCCTGCGTGTGGGAGATGGCCGGCTAAAGGAACAACTAAATTACAACTCTAGAAAGGTAGCAGCAGGACGAGAAAATAAATAAATAAAAGAAAATGACATCGGGTTGGTAAACCTTCTTTAACCGTTTTCTTTTAGGTGCTTTTTAATTTTTTTCTCAGTTATTCTGTGTTAATTAATGTCCATTATTGACTTTTCTCTCTAATCTTTTCTCCTGCCTTCTTCATCAGCGTAGAGTCTCCTTTTTATATTTCTCACATTTTCTGTCTTCTCGGCCTCCGTCTCCTGCTCCCAGTCTCAGTGTCTCCATCATCTTCATTTCTCTCTGCTCACACGCCCCCAAGAGGAGCGCAGCTTGGAGCACAAAGACAGTCAAACTAACCAATGAAAACGCAGAGGCAAAGAGCTTTGACCAACCAGAAGGTCACAAGTCCGGGGTGAAGGGTCAGGAGAGATAATGGGTGTAGAGTGGACGGAAATTTCCTACCTCAGGGGACAGCAGCGCGTGTGCAACGTGTATGTCTGTGTGTGTGTGTTTACATATTATCTGGCGTCAGCATTTACTCCTGCGGCACCCTGGACAAAAGTGGACAAACACGCCGAGCAGCACTAGGTGCTGCCAGATGGTGGGCGGTGTGTCTTCTGACTCACCAGCTCGCTTCCTGTTCAGCTCGTTTAATAAAATATAAGCACTGCCGATACCTTTTAGCGGGCCTGATGTTTAACTCTTTGCAGCAGTATCCATGCCGTGAGATCTTGAAATTTCTGAACAATCCAACAACACTTGGCCTGACATAAGTAATCAGCCATTAAGATACAAAGTTTGACCCAGCCAGACAAAGGTCAAGCTAAGAAATGGATAGGTGGGGCACATGCTTGGTGAAGGAGATAGTACATGCCAGAGTGTCATATGATCTCAGTGAAACAGCTAGAGTTTCATGTTTTGGGCAAGTATTTACCAAGGTCACAACTCTGCCCCACCTTCCAGGCAAATGAGATAACACTGGAGCGACTGACCCATCCCTGATAGCTCAGCTTGTCAGATTTAAAACTAGTTATAGGTGACCCTTTTCATTCTTTAATGGATTCAACCCCAAAAAATGTGCTTTTAATGAGTTTTCAAAGCCTTACACATTACAACTAGTGCACTACTTTAAAAGCAAATGAGCTGATAATGGATCTAAATAATGTAATAATGTAAACATGTTTGTATTCATGTGAATATAAGCTTTTAAACTGGACTGAAAAACCATTCTTGAAACAATATATATTTTTTTAGATTCACATGACTGCGTACTACTGCTCAGTGATCAGTGTTCCTGTCCCACATTACTGTTGCACAATGTGCTTACTTTAGGTTTTGTGCAATAGAGGAACAAGGTAAATAAAGAAGGAAATCAGAGAAAGACCAAAAAGGCCAAAGGCTTGGGACGATTTAAAACAGAAGTGAAAAAGCTCTACAGTGAGATGTGGGGCTCTTGTCATAAATAAGCCCATGAAGGCAGCCCTGCGTCACAAACTTACTGATGAGTATCTGAAAACAAAAGCCCCTGTAGACACAATCAGTCTTTATTAAAACAGCAGATGCAGCTTTCTGAACCTTCACACAAAAATTTGAGTAAAGAATTTAAAGATGATTAAACGCAGTAATGTGCATGTCAGAAAGGCGAGTGGTTCTGTAACATTTAAAGCTAACGGATGAAATGAGGTTTAAAAACTGAGCAGCTAGACTTCTATTCAGTTTCTGTTTAATTTTATTGTTTTTAGATGTGCCATGTCCTGGATGCCAGAAACTTCATCAGCAAGGAATAAAGTCCTTCTACAGATGGACAGTTTTTACAACTCTTTAGTTGTTGGATTTGTGTGTTTCCAATAGAGAGGACTTCCATCTTTTCAGCTCTGATAAGAGGCTCACCTTCATTCACACCGATTCAGTGACAAAGAAACATTTTCTGACAGGATGTCGCAATCAGGTCAAACAGATATTCAGGTAATTCCCATTTTGCTAGACATACCTGTCGGAGACCATCATGTTGTACGACGACAAAAAAATCTGTGACGGACTGACAAAAACATCCTGAAATCTCATCCCTGAACAAAGAAATGCAAGTTTCAAGGGACTGATAGCGTTGGAAAGAAATCCAAAATGTTCTAGAAAGAGTTTCTATCAAAAAATAACTGAATACATCTTTGTGGCCCGCTAACATGTGCACATGCAGTTTTGAGTGGATTTGAAGTTTTTATTGTAGGGACATTTCAGCAGATTGAAGAAAAACTAAAAGCTGGGAACCACTGATCTAGTACATGTATATCTACACACTTGATTAATTGATGGATTATTAGACAGATTACTAATACAGTTGATAGAGGCAGGCTCTGATTTTAAAGTTAATGTTATGTGGAAGAACTCATGTTTGTATTTTGTTACAGTAAAACTTAATTTGTTGGAATGAAAGACTTTGATGCAATCAACCCTAAAAATGACATCTGAAGAGGCATTAAAACGTCATCGGTCGATTCCTCGCGCCAAACTGAAACTCACCACGAGCAGTCGTTCAAATGTGTTAAATTAAAATGGTCTGTTTTTCCAAACACAATATGAGATTTATCACAAACAATTTTAATACCACCCTCTTCTGCTGATTTTAGATCATTTTTACCATTTTGATTTTCAAATATTCAGCAAATGCAAACAGATGCTGGTCAATATTCAAAAATAGAACTGAAAGGTCAAGAAAAGGGAAATCAGTGGCGGAAGTGTGATGTTTTGGCTTTAAATATATATATATATATATATAGAAATCTTTTTTCTAATAGTATTTAATGGTTTAACGCATTAGATTAATTCCCAACATTCCTCTTGAATCGTTTTAACAAATGCAGCCCATAGCTGCTCCTTTTTCTGTTGTGTGTGTATTTACTGATAAAACTGAAATGTAAAGAAGGTTCAAGCGGCTTCAGCCTAAACTACAATCATGTAAATGAGGAAAGACAAAGCATGATGTGTGAAGCAGCGTGAGGACTTGGGGGCGTGAGCCAATGGGTGAGAAGGGGAAGGGCGAGGCTTCCACGTCTTTAAAAGAAGAGGGTATTTTTCCTTTCTCTGAAATCCTTTAAATACCTCCCCTCCCCCTTCCCCACCCCCCAGCGAGACTCCTCCTCCCCTTTGACCCTGAGCCCTGCCCCCGCCGGAATTCAACACATGCGACACACCCCCTTTTTTAGGGGCCAGCTGGACACCTTTGACCCCGGGCTTCCCAGCAGCCCCGGGACTGGTCACTCTCAAACAGATCCGAGCTGATCGGCTCTATTAGCAGCTCACTCTGCGCTGCTAAGAGGAAAATTGTAAAGACCCAGCTGCTCTGCCCAGTTTTAGTCTTTATACGAGACGGACGAGGGTGGACTGCTGCTTTAATCCACCTTAGGTGGCCAATCCTGTGCTTTGATAAGAATCTCATTTAGCCTACAGGAGTTAAACTTAATGACTGCTTCTGGCCTTGCTTCATTGAGCTGATCACATTCTAGTTGCAGTTCAAAGTTGTTTTCCTTCCTGTTACGATGCATAAAACGTTCCTGCTCTGGTTTCCTCTCACCTGGACAGCCTGCCGTCCCTGCTGTGCGTCTGCCAGCAGCTGGATGGTGATGGTTCTGCAGTCCTGCACGGCGTCCTGCAGGTAGACAAAAGTGTGGCCCATGTGGCGGCCGACGCTGCACTCCCTGCAGATTGGCACCGAGCAGGTTTCACAGAAGAACAGGAACACCTGGGGAAGGAGAGTCAAACATGCATGGAAAGATCAGTTTTGCTTTTGGAAGCGTAGTTTATTTTGTAGTTTATTGTTTGTCATATGCAGGTCAACACAAGGTCAACAATGCAATGAGATGCTCAGGACGAGAAGAACTGCCTCAACTTGCCCATAAAAAAAAACAAAAAAACAAAGCATGCAACAAACATACAAAAGCACATAGCAAGTACAGAGTTTAACATACACCAAACTCATGGTACAGACTGCATATATGAGCACATTTTATTTGTGTACTGCTCATTTGTGTACACAATTTTGTTCCACCTCATGTACCACGATATGTGAATACCAATAAAGAACCTTGAATCTAAATTAATAAAACCCTGTTCGGTACAAAAACAGTGACGATAAGTACCTCCAAATTATACTGAGACTACAGTTGACTACAAGTGCAGCGAAAGACCAGAGCGATGACTGATCTCAATATTACGCCTCCCTGAGATAACACCACGGTGATTTTAGATCTGGACATTAGCCTCAGATGCCTTCTGTCAGACAGAGCTTACAAGCCAGGTTTAGCGCTAAGGAAGGGTTGAAGACACCCGTAACGACCATTTCAAAACTCGAGTGACAAGACTGCATACATGTGAGAATCACGTGAACATCGTGAGACCTTCTGGAGACTCCCTCACGAACTCCTATCAACTAGTCGCAGCCCAGTGAGAGGCCGAACGATGAGCCACGGCCTCCCGTTCTACAGCTCCACAAACACGGAGCTAATTTTTTTTAAAGAGGAAAAAGGCCATGAATGCTAAACGGGTCATCCATATTCATGTATTAACAGGGAGGTTCACATTTTTAACACCCCAGAGAGCTTTTCTCTTTCAAAACACCACTAGAAAGGGGGAAACAACCTAAGCGGGTGAAACTGGATCAATATCTTTTCTGGACAGTTTTTAAAGTGACTTTCTTATTAGGTTTTTAAACTTAGCCTTAATTATGTCATTTTCTGTTGAAACGGATGATGAGAAAATGTTGAGACATGTATACTGCTGGAATAAATCAAATAACAGTCCTCATCAAACAACGTAAAGACGTCATGTGGCCTTTGCTGCTAAAAACGCAGCTTTTCGCCAAGGCCCAGGTCTGAATGCTGATTGGTTGTAATGGAAAGTTAATTAAATATGCACTGTGCATCATATCCCAAAGAGACCCCACATCAATGGCCTCCAGTAGCAGGAGAGCGGAGTGGACGGAGAGCGGCCTGCAATCAATCCATCAATATTGGCGGTTCCCTTGGGGAGCGGTCTAATCTAATGAGTCACACACAGAGAGACACACCTCCCCCTTTATTTGACTTCCTCCTTTCTGCCTTCAGCTCCTCTTTGAAACCTTTTTTTTCTTTATCTGCTGAGCTCTGGCCTCTAGGACAGTCTCTGTACCATCCTGTCACTCAGTGCCCTCCTCTCCTCGGCCTTCCTGTCCCGTCCCTCCCCCTCCTGAGATCCAGAGGGACTGGGCACAAAAGGCAGGAATGTAGCGGAAGAAGAAGGGAAATGGATGAGGGCGGACGCAAGGATCAAAAACAAGGACGAAGGTGCGGGAGGACCAAATAAACGTTGATGAACGACAGTCGTAAAACATCAACTCCATTTATGAAGTTTAGTTAGAAATGACTACTTCAGTAATTTAAATAGATAAATATTTTAAAAACAATGACTCATGATTTTTTTTTTTACCCATTTGTCCAATTCAGGTTACTATAGACATAAAAGGCCTCACATTTCTTTAAAAAAAAGAAAGAAGTGTGTTGTTGGTCTTTCATGCAAGTTTCTTTAGGATTCACCCAGCTGTTCATGAGATGTTTTGGCAAGACGCGCACAAAAACATCAACCACCTCTCGTTTGGCTTTAAAAAATAAAATCCTTCCTAATCAGCACATTCATTTTACCCATCAGATTTTATAATCCATCTGGAAATCAATAGTAATTATCGACTTTGTTGTCTCACATTTAGTTTCTATTCATGTATGGAAACATGTAGGTAAACCAAAAGAAGAGCCGTCAAAAGCACCGACATCCTGTCTCGTGGAACTACGTCCTCTGACAAACAGCTGCAGACCTCCTCTGTTCGGTGCTGCTGAGGTGTCATCACCGCCCCAGGAGTCCTTGAGGTGAAACACGCTCCCCCATGAAGTTGTAGATTACATAATACACAGGCATCTTGGAACGCTGGTCAATAATATTGATTGGCACTGAATACAAGCTCTTCTCTCATGTCTTCATGGAGTTTTCCGTGTCCTCTCTGCCTCCAATTTTACTTTTCAACCTCACACAGAATCATTGTTTTAATGTAAGGGCTTGTGAATTATGAAATAATGTTGTTTTTTTTCCAAATAGGAACCAGGAACTTGTGTTGCTAAGACGGGCCGTGCACGTGCAAGTAATGGAAAAACACCAAGACGATGTAAATCAAGTGGCACAGCTGTAAATTCCACAGGAAACAGAACGAGAGGCCTTCAGGCACGACCGATTACTTAAGATTTATACATTGCAACTACTGTGCAGCACAAACAAGTGACGAGCACAAACCACGTTTAAACGTTTTGTGGGTTCTTGAACGCATCACCAGCTGCAGAGCTTGGAGCAGCAGGCCTCGCTCATGTTGTGGGAAGTGAGTTATTGTATTTCATTAGCGCACCGGATGTCTCATTGTCCGTCTCGTCTTATTTTACAGCTCAATTCTAGTTTTTTTACATGGATTCTGCCACATAATCAGCTCTGAACTAGTCGCCGACATGGTTGAGGTCAATGTTTTTGCACATTAATTTAGATAGTCACATTTTTATTCTGTACAAAACATTAAATTAAGCTTCTAATACTTGAATCACCTGTTAGTTACTGAATCTGGAGTAAACTGAAGATTATTGGTCAGTCTTGTTCGGTTTGCCTTTAATGCACTCAACATGGCACATCTACATTAAAAACATTCAGTAAAATTCATTTAGTTGCACTCGTCAGTAATTGAACGAGATTTATAAATATTGACTTAAGTTGTGAATAAAAACAGCCAGTGCTGATGTGAAAATATCAAAAACATCTAAAATTATTGTTTTAACCTAAATGGTAATTAAGATAAAATTCAGAACAGTTTAAGTTTATAATTTGCAGCCTTGCCCTGCTGAAACGTAAAAACTCTGATATTGTGAAAATATTGAATATTACGCAACAAAACCAATATTGTGAGTAGCATGTTCATAATTTGCAACATTACAGTAAGAAAACCGAATCATTTGTGGCTAAAAGTCATTAGAATTGTGCGTCTCCTGGCTTTGTGCTCACGTCGCAGCAGGAGCAGCTCCTTTTCCTTCGTCCCTTCCTCCCCTCGGAGAACTGGGGGAGAGGGCAGCGACTCAACTCTCCATTAAACGTGCAGCAGGCGCTGGCCGAGGGGGCGGGGGAGGGGACCGGTGCCGTGTAATGTCACACTCTGGTGCCAGAAAAACCAGGACTGCTCTCCGAAGTGAGAACAGGCATTTAAAACAGGATGAATAAATCATAAGCTCAAACAAAAAGGCATTTATCGATAAACGATGGGACAGCATGGTTATAGGCTCTGGGGCTAAAATAAAATGAATGAGCGAACAAACTGTTGATCAAAGATGGGTGTAGTCGCCTTCATGTCACTCCCCTCCCCCAATGTTTTTGCATCTTGAAGACTAAGGTCAACTGGACGTCACCACCTGGGATGACGTTTTGAGGGTGGATGTGACTGAGAACACGTCCACGCCAGCCGTGATCTCCAGCCGCTTCAGCTGCCTCACTTCAAGCAGCACAGAGACCAAAACCAGTTTTTACACCAGGCTGTAAACGTCTTTATAGCAGCTGTAAAGTCCTGAGCTTCAAGACGGGTCTGTGGGAATTCACTCCTTTGTTGCAGTGGAGTCCGACAGAACTTCATTTTGTCTTTTGGATAAAAGACTAAACGTTTCAACAAGAAGAATCCGTCCAGAGGACCTGACTTAACCTAGTTTAGAGTCATCTACCTGGATTATTTAGAGTGCATCTGGATATTCATTTTGAGACATTTATTTTTTGCACAACTGGTCATCTTGAGAAACCAAGCACATTTATCCTCAATTCATTTATTACTATTAACAGTAGGGGTGTGAATCTCTGTCTGGCAATTCAATTCAGATTTTTGGTGTCACGATTAGATTCATGAACAATTTTCAATTCAGAAATGATTTTACTATTGAAATAGTCATAAAATTTTGATTTAATGATGTAACTGACAAGACGAAAAGATTAAACAACAATGTAAACAAATAGAAGGGAGCTGGCTAACTAGCTTGCCGTACGGTGGCCTACAAGACCAAATTTGACGGTGACAGGTGGACACGTAATGCCATATGCAGTACGCTTGGGAGTAGGAGCGGAAAAAAATCTAACACATTTTAAAATTGATTTATGGGCTTTTAGAATTGATTCAGAATTGCCAGGACTAAGAATCTAGATACTTTAATAAATAGGATTTTTTTCAGCACCCCAATTAACATGCATTTTGTTGGGACTGTATTATGTTCCTCAGCAACAAACTAGAAGCTGAGGTAAAAAAAAAAAAAATG